CAGTTTTTTTATGTCATCTGAACTCTCTTCTGTTTCTTCATTGACTCCAATCAGTCTTATGTTATTCTTCTTTGCATCATCTTGCAGCTGCTGGGTTGATTTCTCATGGTCCCTTACTATTTTAAAGAAATTTTTCTTTTCCTGGTCACTAATTGCAATCTTATTTTCTGTATCTGAAATTCTGTCCTAACATTGGCTCATTCTGCTGTGTAAACTTTCAGTGGAATTTTTAATCTCTTGGAAATCTGTTTGTATCTGTTTTATGGATTCCATTTGTTTCCTATGTTGTGATTCCCTCATGTTCCTCAGCTCCTCTATTTTTTTTTAATCTGTGTCCTCTCTAGATTTATTAATTATGTCTTGCACTGTGGGCACAATCTCTGCTGTTACCTGAGAAATTATTTCTTATTTCGTTTTTTCCAGATCCTCTTTCATTGCCTGTTCAAGGAGTCCAGGTGGTTGAGTATCAGATGGTTCCATCTTGTTTCCCTTGGGGGTTGCTTTAGGTGATCTGGAAGTCTGGTTTTGAGACTTCTTTATGTGTCTTCTCATTTCAACAGGGGTCGGGGGTGGTGTGCTGCTTGTGCCATCGTGGCTCACCTCCTCGGTGTTGGGCAGAGCTCTGCTCCTCTGCACTGGGGGTGGTGGTACGGCAGCCGGAAAGGCTCAGCTGCTCAACACTGGGGGCCTCTGCTCCTCTTCAGTAAATAATTTAACAAGATTCTGAATAGGGTTATAATACTATTTTATTTAATTAATAATATATCAACTGAGAAATTAAAAAAATCCCCTCAACAGAGCCATTATCAAAGCATGAATGACCTTTACTTGGGAATATGTTTAGAGGGTACAGATGGTTGAGGAAAAGGATAATTAAAATCACTGAAGCCCTTATGTAAATTTATTTTTCTTAAAACAAAAAAAAAATTTCCCTAATTTCAAGTAATATATATTCCTTAAAAAGAATTTGAAAAATGTAGAAACTTTCAAAGAAGAAATAAAACTTGCTATAACCCACCATTCACAGATAATCTTGACATTTTGAGGCACATTTTCTTTTAGTCCTTTTTAAAATCAATATTATGAAATTAAGATTCTTATGTACAGAAAATTTTGCATCGTTTTGTTCATCTAACCTTATGATGTAACCATAGCCACGTGCCAATCAACATTCTTTGAAAGTACCATCTTGCTCTACAAATACTATTCTATTATATACGCATGTCCCCTGTTTGGGGTGTTATTGTTTACTTGTTTTTTAAAAATGATTCCTCTTTTGCTGACCACTCAGACCATTTCCAATTTCTGCTGTTCCAGATGATGTTAATGTCACAATCACTTTTCTGGAACCTTTCCCTTGTCTGAAATCCATGTAAAATCAAGTTGAAATTTCAGCTGAAGACTCTTACTATATATTTCCAAACTCTCATCTCAAATAAGTTTCCACTTTGCTCTGGTTTTTGAGGACCAGTTAGTTCTTTGAGAAATGCAGGGTTTAAGTTCACTATTCAGTTGAGTGTTCTGCCAAAGCTCATTTTAACTCAGTGGAAAGTTGGTGGTGGCAATGGCTGAGCAGGAAGGAGGCACCCGAACTGGGGGCAGGAAGTGGGGAATAGCTGGGAGTGAGGGATAGGACTCAGTTAGATGGCATTGGGGCTTCTGGTGTTTTAGATCCCAGAAATGATAGATTCCGCCAGCCAAATGTATACTGTAAATTTCTAATAACTGATTTCCCTGTCAATCTTTCTTTGTCCTTACCAGCTCCTCTCTCCTGAGTGCCTGCCTTCTCAATTCCCACCTGCTCTGTAGCAGCTAACTTGCTCTTCCATCAACTGTCTTGACCTTGTGTTTTGGAAACCAGGTCTCCACTAATGAATTACACTGAGCTAAGATTGGGGACAGGTATCCATCCCGACTAACAGACTCAGTTCATTTCACTATTAATAAGGATGGGCTAGGTACTGCTGTGATAAGAAACAGCACTAACATTTTGGTTCCTTCACAAAATCAAGAGTATTTCACATGTGGGTAGCTGTCCTCTACTAAAGGATGGTTCAGCAATCCAGTCTGCTTGGATTTTTGTGGCACTTTAATCTTAAAATAGGATTTTGGGATTGCCAGGTGTGTTATCTTTGTATTGCTGGGACAACCTACCTGAGGTAATTCACCTTTTAGGGAGGAAAGGTTTATCTTGGTTCATGGTTTCAGAGGTTTAATCCATGGTTCTTTGGTCCCATTGCTTTGGCCCTGTGGTGGCACAGTGCTCCACAGCAGGGGGACATGGCAGGGGAGGCTGCTTATCTCACAGTGACTGGCAACTGAAAGAAAGAGGAAGGGGCTAGTGTGTGTATATTCAGGGCCACACGCCCAAAGACCAAACTTCTTCTACTGGGTCCCCCTCCTGAGGCTTCCACCACCTCCTGATAGTGTCAAGATGAAGATAGAGCCATCACCCTTTGGGGGACAGAGCCAAATTATAGCACCATGCTAGGTGCATTGCCTTTTAAGTGCTTCAATCCAGAAGTGACCCACAGTTACCAGCCTCATCCTCAAGACTGTGTCCTTTGTCCTGACTAATTGTCAAAGGTCAGGAAAGTGTGATCTCTATACTTCCAGAAAGGAAAGACGTGTGAATGTATTGGTAAACATTTTGATTACCTGAATTATTAAAAATAAGAACAAATTAAAATATATTTTAAACAGTAATTAGAGAGAAAGCATAATTATTAAATATGCACACACAGTATTGATAAAGTGAGAATTAGAAGAGCATCCATTCTATAGGCTTTATGCCTCAGTCAGAATCTGTTGTTTACAACTCTGTGAAGTTGTCTGCCTCCTCCTGAAAACAACTGTGTCAGATTAACCTGGATGTCATGGTGGAGCTCAAAGGGCCAAGGGATTGATCTCCTACATTTCTAGACACAAATTGCATCACGTAAAGGGAGAGAGTTCTGGTTTAGCTGTTGTGAGGGAGTGGTGGGTGGGTTTCCATTTATGTCCACTTCCAAGTAATCATAGTGGATTGCTTGGGAGTAACTCCACTGCGGAGCCAGCCGAGGACTCTTCCATTAGCCTTTGGGCTGAATGAGGAAGAGTGCAGTGATTCATTCATTCAACAAATGTTTACAAGCACTGACTATAGAGTGGGAGCTGTACCAACTGCTGATGCTTCTATCCCACGTGGCACTCCTGGTGTCAAGGTAGTATAGCAGCACCTTCCGTGAGGTGTGTGTATAGTTGTGCATGTGTACGTGCATGTTTCAGGTGAGGGATATGCAGGCACATGGTGCCTCTTCCTTCCGTCCCTGAGTAGACATGACCATGCATTGGCCAATCAGTCCCAGACCTAAGCAGTGGAAGTCGTAGCTGCCCTGTATCAATCCTGTGTGCTCCCTGAGGCAGCAAATGGATTCTGAAATGTTTTCCTCTTGTTGCAGTGGATCCTGCAGAACTAACCACATGCTTTTCCCCCTTGGCTGTGCTTTCAAGGGAACTGAAGGTGCAGTAAGGGCCACATCCATTTATTTTTCTTCCTCCCTAGCTCATTCCTCTGGTGTCCACATTAAACTCTGTTCATTCTTAATTGCTCGCTCCCAGATTCTATTTCCTTCCCCAGAATTTTCTTTTTTCTCTTATGGTAGCAAATGAGGATGATATCAGTTTCTCCCCTCTATTCTTCTAAGTATGATTAAAATGTTTAACCCACCCAGGACAGGAGCAAAAGGAATGCAACCTGGCTTCTGCTCCAGGCAGAGTGATACAAGTCAAGGGGATCTTCAAAGGGCTCATTCTCAGTCTGGGCCTGGGGCTGGCTTTTGAATGGTGGAATCTGTGCTGTGCAACCCTCGGCAGCACTGCATGGAGAGCTCATCATCTCCTCATGCTCACCTGGGCGTCTCCAGACTCTTAACATTCCACAGAGCTCAGAAAACATCTCATGGTCTGCAGTGGGCTGTAAATCAAGGACTGTGGCAGCTCTGAGTGTGAACGGGGGTGGATAATGATGTTGGGTCATTGTCAAAGTTAAAAAGAAAGAAGAAAAATGAACTTATCCCTAAAGAAAAATAAGAAATAAATTTTGCACATCTTTCTTCCTATTTATTCCTGGTATCTGTACAATTAATATGCTAAGTCTAGGAACAGGCTGTACAAAATAGTTTCTCTGTGGGGACCCAGAGAATATCTACTATTCATAATTATAATAATAAACACAGTCAGGTTTGGCACTAGATGTTACACATCATGCCTATCTGCTAAAAGACATTTCAGGCCGATCATGAGAAACTGTGAGGCCGACTGTTCCATTGGTTTGAGGATCCTTTTGTTCTCAAAGTATTCATTATGTGAGTCTTCAGTTGTACATGGAAGGAACTCAGCAACCATGCAACTACTTATGAAAATCAGCCTCTGCTCAAACATCCCTCCCTGCCTTACACTGCCTACCCCTGCCCATTGGGCCAATGTCTTTGACACCTTTTGCTCTCAGTTTATTGTTTAGATCATTTTTAGGGAACAGGAAACATTTGAAAACTTTAAGGCAAAGTAAAGTATAAATGGATTGCAAAATGTTATAGTTTGTATAAAAAATATGTCATGAGTTCAGAGGTGGGGCTTTTGGGAAGTGATTAGATCATGGGTACACTACTTATCAATAGATTAACCCATTGATTAGTTCCTAGCTGAATGCACCGTTAGGAGGTGGGGCCTCGTTGGAAGAGGTGGGCCGTTGGAGGTGTGCCTTTGAAAGATTTATCTCTGGCTCTGACTCTCTTCCTTGCTCTCTGCTTCTGGAAGCCATGAGGTGAGCAGTTTTCCTCCACCAGACCCTTCCCTCCACCATGGTGTTTCTGCGTTTGAGTCAACTAACCATGGACTGAAACCTCTGAAACCATGAGCCAAAATAAACCTCTCCTCCTTTAAACTGCAGGTGTCATGTATTTTGTCCCAGCAGCAGAACGCTGATCAATACACAAAATAAAGTCACAAATCCTGTAGAAGACCCAGATTTTCATTAAATTATTTGTAGTGATAATGGCTCCTTTATTGGCAAAGATTTGACAACTGGAGATCTGGCAGAAGCTGGTTAATTAAAAATCAAAGAAGAGAAAGAAATGGATGATGGTCTCATAGGTAGAATTTGCTTTCTAAGACTGCTAAGGTAGTAGCTGAGTATTTAAAGAATGGTCGGCTTTATAATCTTACTTCATGTAAAGGATAACAGGAAAGATGTCTGAGTTCATAGGAGCTTTAGAAATCTTTACTCTGGCCGTCTCACTTTGGAGATGAGGACCCAGAAGGGACAGAAATGCTGCACGAGCTCACACTGCCTTTGTCAATTCTTGTGGTCATTCCGGCCATGGTTGTGACTGAGTCCTGTCTTCTCACACCCACCTTCCCGATCAGGGAGTCCGGGTGGCTCCTCTTCTGCAGCATCCTGGGAATCTGACCACTTCTCACCTCTGCCTTCCCCAAAGCCCATCCTCCCTCCTCCCACCGCTGGGTCATAGCCATGATTTTCCAACTGGCTGTCCTCCATCTGGGGTCATTTACAAAGGTCCCACCCATTCCCCCTCTGCTCGGACCTCCCCTGGCTCCTCCTGTCCCCCAGAGTAGCATCCCAAGTCCCCACTGTGGTTAGAAGGCCGAGGTAAGTCCTGCCTGGCTCTTTGATGTCATCCCCGTGACCTCACTGGTGTCCAGGCTTGGGGCTCTGTGCTGTCCTGCCCTGCCCTCAGCCTGCTCCCTTTGCAGCCTCCTCCCTCATGAACCTCACCTTCTTTGGTTTTTGTCACAGGGCCCCAAGCACCTACTTCTGAGCACCCCATCTTGTCACTCTTTCATACTGAACTTCTCTGCATAAGAAAGATGATGTGTTTGTGTGTTCATCTGCCTCCTTCCTGTTCTTCAGTCATCTGCATCTCTTTTGTTCAAACACTGACACAGTGAAGACTCCAAACTAATGCTTGAATCAACAAAGAAATAAATAACATTAATACAGAAGTGAACAAATGATAGGACCTATATTGATGTTTCCTGTAAGAATTTGTTTTAAAAATCAGAGTGCTTTGCCAGGTGGGCCGATCCCTGGCTGCAGTTCCCGGAACCTCCCCTAGCAGCAGCCTGCGCCGTGTGAACCCGGGCTGTTTCCAAGCCTCACTCAGTGGCCAGAGGCTCTGCTCTCAGGCCCTTGGGACCCAAGGGGTAAAGGGGCTCATGGGAACCACAGGGGCCCAAGATTCCAGGGATGCTGGGCATCTGGCTCCCCTGGAGCCTTCAGGCAGGGAAGATGCAGCTTACAAGGACGGGATGATTTTACTTTTATTCTAAGTTTAGAGTTTAGGGAATGATGTTCTGGTCAGTGTTTACTGATGCCACTTCTGGGCTTCTAGCTCCTCTATTTTTACTCCCACATTGTGGCCGGGAAGGAAGAGAGAAATTCCACCAAAGACTGGCATTGGGAAAAGAGGATGCAGTTCCTGGTCACTCAGCTTTCTTGGAACTTTGGTGCCAGTGCGTGCTGATGTGGGGGATATGTACAATGCAGGGCGTGTATATGAGATATAAAGAGACCCGGGCAGAGGAGAGATGCACATATGCAGTGCTATTTGCAGACATTTGTTTTGAAAATTTGGAATACATCGAAGGACTGAAGATTTTTAAATTCATATCAACTAGCATTGGGGTGGGGGGCTTGATTTGACTTGAAGGGAGTCAGCCCAGAGCGGAAGCAGTGGTTACAGCTGAAGGAGGCCAAGCCATGCCTCAGAAAAGCTGGTCTTGTGCCCCAAGAGAGGCTGGTTGGGGTGGTCCCAGAGCAGGGTAAGACTGCAGCCCAGGGACCAGGCCGAGTCTCTCTTCTCAAGGGAGCACAGGTGTTGGGGTGTGGAAGATGCCTCCAGCTTGATGTTTGATTCTGTTTGCTCCCTTTAATTTCAGAGCCAGCATGATTTAACTCATTTGGTGGCAGCTGACCGGAGACTCTGGGGCCTAGCAGGAGATGTTCAGGGTAAAGAGAGGCTGTCCTGGCCCAGCCTCCTGCCCCTGAAGAGCAGCTTGGGAAGTCAGTGCTGAAATTCGCCTCCTGCCCTCCGCTCTGCCCCATAAACATTTGCTTATTCTATTGTGCAGGGTGGACTTGCCGTGCCACGGAATGAAAGCAAGCCTGGCCCCCTTCTCACTGATTGAAAGACGGAGCCACTGACAGCCATCTCCAGCAGCTTCCTTGCTGGCGGGGTAATAATGTCCAATTTTGCACACTTCAGATCCATTAGTTGCAATTACCTTTCCCGAGGTGTTTGGAGTTAGTTTTAACATAGCATTCTTACAGTTGGTGGATAATGACAGTAATAATGTACACAACATTTTCAAGTCATGGTTTTTAGCTGCAATAACACCATTAGTAGGTCTATTTAACAGATGGATTTCATGCTAAAAGTTAAGGTGCTCCTGATTCCTTTCCCTTCCCCCACCTAAACCCTTAACTGCTCTTACAGTCAATGGGGATTTTTTACTCCAAAGTTTCAGGAATAATTTTCTCATTCTGAGTCTTCCTATTGAAACAGGGCTATATGGAGTAATTGGTTTGATTTAGAATTATTAATTGTTTAGCTGTTGTTTTTTTAGAGGTTCTTATGACATGCAAACTGACCCTGGAAATTCAAAGCTCACAAAAATGGAAATAATGTGTATTTTCCAAAACTCATTTGGAGTGTCTCTGAAGGACTGTTAGGTTACTGATGCCTTCTGGGCAGAGACATGGGCCTGCAGATGGGCTCTGGAAAGGTGTGCCAGTCTCTTCTGGTCACTCAGTTGAGTTGTCTCTGTGTGTTTAACACTCCTTGTAATATTTACTCTTGTCTCCCTGCTTTCTTCTTGAGCCTTCTCGGACCACCACCCTGAGGGCCTGTGAGCTCATCCCTCAGGCTGCCCTGCTCTTTAGACATTTTTGTACGTCCCACCCTCCTCCCCCTTGCTTGCAGCTTTTGCTGTTTGGGGCACACCCGTGATATGCAGTGCAGTTCGGCATCACACTTCTCATTCCCTGTGGGAGATCATGAATGTTATCCTCACCAAGTACTACCTGGTGAGTGGCTTTAAATAATAGAAATTAACTGGAATATGGGCACATAGAAATTGTACATATTAATGCGATAACACGATGCTTCAATATGTGTATACATTGTGTAATGTTTGTATCAGATGAATGTATCTGTCTCCCCATCTGTCATTTCTTTATGATGAAAACTTTCAAAATCTTTTCTCATAGCTTTTTGAAATGTGCATCACATTGTCATTGTTGCCATAGTTTGCATCTAAAATGTCTCTAAAAGGCCATGTGCTAAAGGCATGTTTCCCAGCCCGAGGCACTATTGGGAGGTGGCGGGACCTTTAAGAGGCGGGGCCTGGCGGGAGGAAGTTAGGGTGCTGGGGGCGTGGCCTTGAAGGGACTATTAGGACCCTGGCCCCTTCCCTTCTTTCTCTGCTTCCTGGCCACCATGAGGTAAGCAGCTTGGCTTCACTGTGTGCTCCCTACACTGACTTTCTGCCTCTCTGCAGGGCCAGAACAACAACAGAGCCCTGCAATCAAGCGTAGTTTAAACCTTTGAAATAAAAATAAATGTTTCTCCTTTTAGGTCAGTTATCTTAAGTATTTTCTTACCCAAGTGAATGGAAAGCTAACAGTTATCTATAGTCACCCTCCTGCATGATAAGATGCAGTAACTTGCTCCTAATTTAGTGTTTATGATCATCCTTTTCCCACTTCTCCCTCCTTTCTTCTAGAACAATAATGAAAACATTGTAGAGCTTTCAATGATAACAAACAACTGGCTGCAGCCTGCATGCCATTGGTTCACCACCACTGTTCTAGGCTGTTAGAAGCCCGAGAAATGCTGCTGCAGAGACATTTGATTAAGTCAAACTTATTTTTTTACTACCTTTTTTTTGACCACAGGAACTTTTCTTTCTTTCTTTTATTCCAGGGTTCCTCCATTAACAGCAATGAAAATAATTTGGGAGAACATAAGCCCATCGAATGCTGTTGCTGTCCTATGCATTGCACCAAATGAGGTAAGCAGAATAATACGACATTCAGTTAACTTTTATTTTGTATAGCATGAAACCGGTGCTGAAGAAAATAGGGATTTTTAAATGCCACAATTCTGAGTGATACTCACATTCAGTGGAGAGGTGGGCAGAAGGGCCGTGGGCCATGCTGAGCCCACTGCTGGCCCCCGGCTGGTGTGACTCCTCTTTTGAAATGGGACGAGCATATATCTTACAAACATGCAGTGCATAATTACTCTTTGAGTCCCGCAAGTCAGCCAGGAGCCTCAGTGCCATCCGGAAGCCCTTGTGCTATTCTGTGCTTTCAATCACAAGGATTCTAAGTGATGCAATAAAATGTTTGACTGCCTGGGCAAAACTGGACTGTGTGCTTATTTTTAAAGAAGCAGAATGATGATAATTTCCAACCACAGCGAAAGTCTTCACGTTGACCCTTTCAACACCACATGAGGTCTTTGTGTCTTCTTTTGGCAAAGGTTCAATCCCAGTTAGGGTGTTTAGCGAGTGTTCCTGTTTAGTGAGCAGGTAAAGGCCGTCCTGTTCCCTCTCTGCCCACTGGTGTGACTGGGTGGGCCCAAGTCCATTTTGGTGCCAGCCGGAGCAGAATCTACTTAGGGAGGTCAGTTTCCTGGTAAAAATGTCACACGTTTTATCAGAAAGGTAAATGAAAATGGTCTTTGAATCATGGTGTGTCTTGGTCTAAAATGAAGCTGATGTACTGATTACAGTAGATACTTTAGAGGGCTATCTAATGAAGAGTATTATTTGTTTCCTAGAATATACAACTTGGGATTCATCTGAGTAGGAAATACTCCTAGTATCTGTCAAATTGGTATCAGTTCACACATATAGAAAGTGGTTAAGAGCATGGGTTGAATTGGGCTGACCTATGTTCAAATCCTGTTGGCTCCACTCCCTGCTATCCCTGTGGGCTAGGGCAGACGACGTGCTCTTTGAGCCTCAGCTTTCCTACCTGCAAAATGGGAATAAAAATACCTACCCCAAGTGATTCTTGTCTCTTTTCTTGGTGTGTGAAGCATTCAGCTTAAGACCCAGCATATGTACAGATAATGGATAGAAAAAGGCTAGACCTTCACTCAACAGGTGTTGCTCCTAATATTGCTGGCTACCATCTAGCCGTATGTTTTCAATCATTTAAGAAGTAATTATTGAAGATCTGTTATGAGCCAGGCACTATTGAAATTGCTGCAATATAAGGAGAGCAATGATGTTCTTGTCTTTGTGAAGCTTTTGTTTTAGGGAGAAGCAGAGCGTGAACAAACTGATAAGAAAATAGCCTGGCAGGAACTGAGAATGGCTATGGAGAAAAGCGAAGTGGAAGTAAGATAGATAGGGCATTCAGAGAGGAGAGAGGGAGGGAGAGAGAGGAGAGAGAGAGAGAGAGCGAGCGAGCTGGAAGGAGGGTTTGAGGGACGCTGCTGCAGAAAGACTAGGGAAGGCTGCCTAGGAAGTAACAGTGGAGTGGAGACAGATAGGAAATGAGGGATAAGGAGTCTGAGGTATAAGTAGCAGTGATGGTAGGCGTGTGTTTGGTGACATCTGAGAAGCATGGCTGGGGTAAAGGACGCTAAGGGGAGGATAATGGGGCGGTGAGGTCGGAGAGGGTGCTGGGCCAGATTATGGGGGCTTTGTAGGACCTTGTGTGCCCTTGGAGTTTTATTCAGAGGGGGATAGAGCTGCTGGCAAATGGTGAGCAAAGGGTTGATGGAATCTGTGTTTCCAGAGGACCAACCTGGCTGCGGGGTGGAGAATGTATTAGGTTGAAATGTGAATGTAGCTCGGGGCATACGTGCCTTTAAGATCCTCGCTGCTTAGCTTCCTTCTCCTTCCCCGAGCCCTGTGATGCGCTCTCCTGCAGCTTCCAGGGGCCCAGGGTCGCTGAGAGGCCCTGCTGTCATGGCAGTGCTTTGGCTCTCTTGCCTGCCCGCAGCCTAGGCTGGTTCTGCAGGCTGGAAGTCACAAGCGAGGTGCTCCACCCGCGCTGGGGCCTCTCGCGTTAGTGTAGATGGCCACCTTCTTGCTGTGTCCCTCAAGGCAGAGAGAGACACAGGATGTCCTCTCATGTCTCTTGTTACAAAGAGACTGGTCCCAGTGGATCAGGACCCCACCCATCTTACTTAACTCCAGTTATTTCCCCGAAGCCCCAGTTCCCTAGTAGTTACATTGGAGGTTGGGCTTTAACATATGGTTTCAGCTCCTATCAGGTAGGAAGTGACATAATAAAAGAGATTCTGTTTTCACCAGGATGGAGAGTATACTCCTTTACCTAAAACAAAGTCTGTCATCCTTTTCATAGGAGAAGCCCGGTGAGCTCCATCGTTTGTCACACGGAAGCATAACACAGTAGCGGGGTTGCCGGCATCTGGAGTTGGTGGCAGTAGACGGTGTGGCAGCAACCAGGGCACTGAGACCTGGGACCAGGGCGCACATTTCACGGGTCTCTGTGCAGGTGATTTGGCTGGGTTTTCCTTTAGCTTGAGGGCTTCGGGAGGGAGCAGCTGCGTGCATCTTCTCCACAGGGAACCCCGGGGACCTGTGCTTGGCACAGGTAACCTGCCTAAGGCTGACTGAGGAGGACCTAACTCCGGCCCTGTGACCTCCTGGGGTGGCAGCAGCTCGGAGGCGGCTCCTCCCTAATTCACAGGGAAGTGCTGCAGGCCGAGGTTGCTTCCGGACTGCGGACTGCGCTTGAGAGGCTGGACGTGGAACAGTGTCCTCTCTGTCCTCCTGAGTGTTAGAAATCCTTCGAGGCCCTAGTTTGATTTATCTGACAGCTGCACTCTGTCTTCACATGGACTGTCAGGAGGCTTAGAATTGGGTCGGAGCCACAAGTTTCCTGGCCTCTTTGAGTATGGTTGTGACACCTTGCGAACTGATGAATTTGAGGACACAGCGCTGCCTCGACTGAGTCCGCCTACTTTGGGGGTTTTAGAAGTTCAGATTCATTCCACAAATTTGACTGAAGATGCTGCTGTGTGCCAGGCACATGGCCAGGGTGACAGGCGGGGCTCCCATGCTGATTAGGGAGCAGGCACAGGCATCTCTAGGTGAACAACTAAGCAAGGTGACTGCAGCTGGGACAAGTGCCAGACAAGAAGGAAGCACGATGCTGGCCTGGAGTTGGGGTGTGTTGGGGGAGGGGGTTCTTCAGGCAGAGAGAGCAGGGAAGTCAGCGAACAGAGTTAATTCACACGGTGCAAATTAAGCCTTCATCTTGGTGCCTGACACACAGTAAAGCCCTAACTCGCTATCACTGCTACGGCTGTTATTGGTGTCGTCATCTCTCCGTTATGTGTGCTTCTGCTGGGCGAAGGCAAGGGGAATACATTGCCGGAATTCCAGGAAACGATGAAGACTTTGCAAAGGTCCCAGCAGTGGAGGGGTGGAGAACTCCATGCCCTAAGGTGTCTCCTCTCTTCCTTCTCTGGCGGTACCGAGGGGCTTGGTGGTCCATCGTACGTGGGCACTCTCTGTCCAAACCAGCATCTCCAAGCCTTAATTTGCTGCAACGGCCCAAGATTTAAACGTCTACATTTTCCTGGTTGGTATTGTAGTGCAAATATCGATTCCTTTCTGTGCAAGTCCTGACTTCACGTGGGGGCAGTGACTAGTGAACGGCCCGTCCTCGCGGAGTAAATATGCCGTGTACAGCAGTCGTTGAACGATTACCGTGCAGCCCAGCTGTCTTAACGCTAAGAGTGCCCGCTTTGCTTCTGGTACAGTCTGCCTGTGTGGCGGAAGAGGGGGGAAGGCTTTGTGCAGGGGCTGGGGCTTTGGGAGAAGGTGATGGGCTCACTTCGCGTCTTCCAGGAGCCCTGTGAGGCAGGTAAGAAGAGTATCTGAGCTCACCTGGTCGAAGACGGCGAAAGAGCAGCAGGCTTGGTCCTCCCCACAACTCCAGCCTTGGATACCTAAGGGAATCCACTTGTGACGCTATTACCCAGTAAATTAGGAGAGCGGTTCAGTCAGGTAGATTGATCATGAAGAGAACTAAAGACAATTAACACACTGCGTTGAGTGCAAAGTGCACCCGCAGCACTTAGCTCATTTCCAATTAGCACAAATGTCACAGCGCCGCGGGCTGGTTATGGGTTTACCATGGGCTGGGTAATTAATTTCTGTGAGCCACGTATCGGGCACCTGGTAATGCCGTTTGTTAATAAACGTCACCCCAGGTATCGGTTTGTTAGAAGACGTAAATAAATGGAATGTGCACTTGTCTGCCCTGTGCAAATCTATTTTTACACCTCGCTGAATCTTTTCTCTTGTTTGTTTATTGACTAGAGCAACTACTGAGATTACAATTGCAAACAAAGGAAATCCCCACCCGCAATGTGGCCTCCAAGGGGATTCCATTTTGTCCCCTCAGGGATGGTCACGTGTGTGAGTGGAGTGGCTTCAGAAACAGGGGCTTCTCCTGGGAAGTCAACCCGGTGACTGCAGGCTCGTGGAGTGCACTTCTCCATCTGTGAGTCTCCGGGGAGGAAGGGGCTGTGCACCCCCATATTGGTGGCCCACACTCCATCTCCTCCTCTGTGTCCCTTCCTGCTCTGATTCTTAGTCACACTCTCACTCTTAAACCAAGCACTTGGGTCTCTGCCAGAAGGTGGGTGGGGCCCTAAGGCTCTAACAAGGTGGGCTTTGAGCAGACGTGTCAGACTTTTGTGAGTTTTTCCACATTCTCAAACATGTGTCCCCTCTCTCTCTTCATGGTAGCAGGTGGGGTTGGATTAAACAAATGTTAAAAATGTTTCTGGCTGCCTCCTTTTTCAGAGGCTTGCGGAGGGTGATGGGATCCGAGCTTTGGAGGTGACACTGCTTTTGTCTGGTAAACATTTCCTTCTTTTCGCCCTCAACAAGCTGGGAGTTTAATAAGAAAACAGAAGTTCCCACCCTGTGAGGTGGTGAAATACAGGGTGGTGAAAAAACCCAGTGAAAGACACATTGCCATCGGTCCCCTCAAAATCTTCCCCTCTGCCGCAAACACACAAATCCCATCTTCTTGCCACTTTCTGAAGCAGTCCTGGAAGTCATCTTTCATGTTTTTATGAGGCATGATAAAAAATAAGGTGAATCCTGCTGCCCAGAGTCAGTCAAGGGAAACACAGGCTCATAAAAGCATTACACTGAGTCCTCATTCTCCTTACTCACCAGATCTGGCACCATGAAACTTCTATCTCTGTCTCAAAGTCAAAATGATCCTGAAAGGTGGACGTTTTGAATAGATTCAGGACATCAAGGCAGCCACAACCGTGGAACTACAGACACTCAGGAAAGAGGACTTCCAGAGCTGCTTCAGAAAGTGACCAGAACAGTGGGATAAGTTTGTTCAAAGTGGTTGGGAGTATTTTGAGGGAGATTAATGGCCATATGTCTTTTACTGTAATAATTTTTTTAAAAAGAAATTTAAACACACCATATTTTTTGACCATGCTTCATAGGATTTAAAGTTTGTTAATCTTCGAGGAGGTCCTTTGAGGATCAGATGTGAGGAGTGCTGCGACCGTCATGGCTTGTATCTAGATGTTCCCCACAGCCTCATGTGCTCATAGGTGGGGCTTTTTGGAGGTGGCTGGATCTGGGGTATATGAATGTGGATTAAGGGTGTGATAACTAAATTAATCCAGTGAGTGGATTATCTAATCTAGCATAGATTTGCATGTGGGTAATGGGAAGGCCAGTCATGGGGTGGCATCACCCAGAAGGCTTGTTAACCTCGAAGGAATAAAGGGAAAAGCAGGCTGGCTGCTGCTGCTTGCTGCCCACTGCCTTCTCCCTACCCTACCGTGAACTGCTTCTCCTCTATGATGTTCCTCTGTCATGCCTCCTGCCTTGGAGGAGGCATGACTATGGACTGAAACCGCTAAAAAATGTGAGCTAAAATAAACTTTTCCTACTTTAATTTGTGGCTGTCAGGTATTTGTCTCAGCAATGAGAAAAGTAACTAAGACACTGAGTTAATACATGTAATGCACTTACCACTATGCTTGCCACTTAGTAAGTACCCTGTTAGCTTCCATGTGTATGACTGAGGTTGCTAATCAGGATCTCATGTGAGACAGGAGAACATCAATGTTGACCCTATGGGGAAAAGCTGGCAGAGAGCAACTATCATTTAGCAGATATTTATTGAGCACCTGTTATGTGCTAAACAGTGTTTTGGTGCTACAGAAAAAAACCAGAGAAAATCCTGGTGCTATTGAAGTGAGCATTCTGTTGGAGATAGGAAATAAACAAGGGGATAAGTAGGATATAGAGCATGTCAGAGGGGTGGGGTACCATAGATATATCGGGTGGGGATTGGGAAAGGCTTTTGGTTTTATTCTTATTTATTTTGCAGTACTGGAGATTGACCTCATGGCCTTCACACTGAACTACACCCTCAGCCCATTTTAATTTATTTTTTTTGAGCTAGGTTTTCACTAATTTGCTAAGTTGTCCAGGCTGGGCTTGAATTTGTGCTCCTCTTGTCTCAGTCTCCCAGAGTGCTGGGGTTACAGATATGTAGCACCACACCTGGCCATGGATTCAGTCTTAAATAGGGTTCTCCAGGCTACCCACACCAAGGAGCGGCTGCCACCTGAGCGCAGACACAAAGAGATAAGGAAACCAGGTCTTGGCTGTCTGAGGGAAAGAGCCTTCCAAATACAGGGCACAGCAAGTGCAAAGGCCCTGAGGCAGGGGAATGCCCAGAGCTGCAAGAGGCCATAAGGCCATAGTAGACCATGTGGAACCACAGCAGGAGAGGAAGCCACAGGAGATGTGAGGACTAGGATAGGGAGGATCTTGTGGATGATTCCAAGAACTTTGTAGTTTATAGTGCATCATGTATAGATGCTATAGAAAGGCTTTGAGCTGAAAAGGGGCTGATTTGACTTAGGTTTTGAAAAGATCACTCCTATCTTTTAGAAATAGCCTGTGGAAGACAAGGGCAGAAGCAGGGAGACTGGTGCGGAGGGTGTATTAGTTTCTTAGTATTGCTATAACAAATTACCAAAGCTCAGTGGCTTAAAAACAGGCCAAGTGCATTATTTTACTGGAAATCAGAGCCCTACAATCCAGGAATCAGCAGGGCTGTGTTTCTTCGGGAGGTGGAGAATCTATTTCCCTTTTCCAGCTCCAAGACCCCTGATTTCCTCTATCTGTGCTTCTTCCTTCATCATCAAAACCAACAGCAGGCCATCCTCAAACCTCAGACCCCTGCTTCTCTGGCCCCGAGCCTCCTGTTTTCCACATGAGGACCCTGTTGTCATCTGCTAGCGTGGGTCCTTACTTCAGTGATAATGGAAATTAAAACTGAGGCATTCAGCATGAATTTACAGGAAAAAGCTTTAATTGGAAAGTGAGAGAAATTGCAGAGGGGGGACGGCTTTGACAAAGATCAAATGGGCTCCTACAAAGGAAAGGCAGAGGAGACAGGGCAGACGCCTCAGTCTGAGGAACTGATGGGATCCCACTGGCCCGTTGTGGGGTGCTGAGAAGGGCCGGGTCTGCTGTCCCCCATCAGGCCTGGTTTTGTAGCTGTGGAGGGCTCCTTATGGCTCAAGGGCAGTTCCATTCCCATGACCTGATTGTCCGTGCTGCTGGGGGCGAGGGTGCCTTCATCACGGTTGTCTGTGGGGCTCTGCTTTTCTTGGAAAGTGAGGTGATTACAGGTTTGGAGATTTTTAGGCATTGCTCTAGGGGGTCTGGAACTGAATGATGTAAAAGCTGATAGTGGGATGTCCCTGCAGATCCTGAAAATCTCTGTAGTCATTCTTATCTTGGTGTCCTCAGTCTTGAAGGGGGATGGAACAGGGGAGGTAAGGTTAGGGCTCATCAGGCTTGAAACTCAGACAGTGCCCCAGTGGTAACAGACCTGTGTGCGCAGCTGAGCAGGACATCCACAGTTTTAAGGGAATGAAGGAGAGTATAAAATGAAGGTAGAGAGGCCAACCTTTACCCTGTTTTTAGTTACTCACTGGGCATCTGATGGTTCCACCTCTAGGTCCCCAACTGCCTCAGAAGACAGCATCAGTGATGCTTTTAATGAGTAACAAAGGAGTTTGTCCTGTGTCCTTATGGCTCTCTAACCGTGTCACTGTCACTGTCCTGGATGATTTGCCTGTCTCAAGACCCTTAGCCACTTCTACAGAGTCCCTTTCACCTTATAGGGTGACACATTCACCAGTTTTGGGGGCTAGGCTGTGCACATCTCTGGAAGGCCGCTGTCCTGTCTACCCCGAGGTCAGTGTATGAAGTTCAGTGAAAGACAGTGATGAGAAGTGGTTGGATTCTGCCGATGTATCCAGAGGCCTCATGTTCTGGACGGATTCCTCAGGGAAGCTTCCAGAAGCCTCCGGCCAGTGGCAAACGCATTGTCCTTTTCACTATCACCTCAGCCATGCAAGGGTCTATTCCTTATCCCAATGAACTACCAAGTCCCCACCATCCCTTTATGAATTCCTATGTTTTCCTGGGCCTATTGAAGATTTGTTGGTCATAAAAATTTTTAAAAAGACTTTGTTTTCCTTTTACAGAGCAGTTTTAGGTTCACAGCAACATTAAGAGGAAGGTACAGAGATTTCCCATATACTCTCTTCCCAACCCATACACAGCCTCTCCTAGCACTATCACCCCCACCACAGTATACACTGTGAAAACTGTGAACATACCGTGACATGTCATGATCACCCAGAGCCCACATTTGCCCCAGAGTCTGCTCTTGGTGCTGGCTGTCTATGCAGTTGGGCAGATGTATAATGACATCTATCCACTGTGATAGTATCACACAGAATATTTCTCCCACCCTAAGAAACGCCTGTTGGATAGTTTTATCACCCATATCTGTTTAATTCTTCTAGTCCTTCATTCAGCATTCACTGGGTATCTGATGAGTGTGCTGCTCTGTTCTGTGTGAAAGTAGCAACAGAAGATGGAAGTCATGCTATTGGGCCTGCTGTGTAGCTCAGTGGTAGGACACTTCCCTAGTGTGCCTGAGGTCCTGGGTTCAATTCCCAGCTCTGGAAAAAAAACCTGATTCTTTTCCCTGTGAGTTTGCAGTGTATTTGAAAAGAACCAGAGGACAATTATGGGGCTAAAAATAAGTGAGAGAAAAATCAAATGTAAGATTTCTGCATCAGTATCAGAGGAGTGGGAAATGTGGAGGAGGTTCTTGAAAGGAAATTGGTAAAGGGTTTTTATTTTTCAATTGGGGTCACTAGCTTCTTGTTTTGCTAAGAATGCACGCTAGAGAAATTCTTTCCATTTCTATTGCCATTGTTTCAGTCAAAGTAGGACAGGTAAGTGTTCAAGACAGGAAAAGGAGCTGATTTAGAGCGAAGAGGAGGCCTTGACCTCAGGCCTCTAGCTGCCAGATCTGTGAGAAAATTAACAGCTCCTGTTCAAGTCATGCAGGTTATGGTACTTTGTCCTGATGACCCTAGCAAACTGGGATGGACACCATGAAACCCAGGATAATGCCTGATGACTTAAAAAAAACTTAGCCAACACGGTGCATGATGCAAGATTGAGACTAAGATGGATTTTTCTAAGATGGCGGATTTCCAGAAGGCTGCATCCTACCTGTACCTGTTGTTACCACGGCTCTGTCCCTGTTCCTCCAACGGTGCCCACTTGGAATGGGCAGGACTGGGAGGAGCTAGGGACCCAAAGAGACCTTGCGCCTGGGTGAATGGTGAGTGCACCACGTGGCGAGGTCTCTTGAGGACCGGGCTCCGTGGATGTGTGTCCACTTGGGAGCAGACAGGCGAGCGGTGGGCTGGGGCCGCTGGGGTGGGTGCAGCACCAGCCCCATTTTCCTGCTCCTGGTCTCATTGTCCCTCTCCCAGGACCTGGTCTCACCCAGGCCGGCCCTGCCCCCTTTCTGCACCCAGTAAACATCACCGGCCTGCTCACTCATGAATATGGATCTCCATCATCCCTCACTGTAGGGATGGATGTTGGGGGCAGAGCTGTTGATTACATTCCCAGCCAATCATTGCCCATTAGCAGGGAAGAGCGGTGGGCATTATGCCTCTTCAGTGAGGAGCCATTTGCATTTGGTTGGGCCCTGCTTTCTTTCCGAGCATGTATGGACTCTCAGCACTCAATTACTCCTGCATCCGGCTCTTCCTCTGTGGTGCTCTTTCCCTTGCTAAGTGTCTTGATTGAATTCGCCAAATAGCTTTGTGCTCACTACAGCTGCTTAGCATGTCCCGGGGTGGAGGGTGTAAGGACATCGGGCAGGCTGGCTGGCGGTGGCTGTAACCAGCAGGAAACAAATACCTTGCCTTTCCCTTTTTCGCTCACACCTGCCCTGTGGATGCCATCCTGCACCCCAAGAAAGAATTCTCAGTAGTTTGGGAGGAAATAGCCCCAACAGATAGTAGGAGGCCTGCTGTGGGAGAAAAGACACTCCTGTCTTTTCAGGAAGTCCTTTCTGTTTTTCCTTTCCCTCCTTCCCTCCCTCCCTCCCTGCCTCCCTCCTTCCTTGCCTCCCTCCTTCCTTCCTGTGCCTCTGCCCCGGGGATGCTGGCTTCTTGATGCTTTTGGGAAAGGGGTTTCTGGGGTCTGGCGGGTCCCTCACCCCTTCTGCTTCTAGAAGGAGGGGCTAAGTGAGTCTGAGGAGCCCCTTGGGAAGCAGCTTGCCCTTCTTGCCCAGATTTCCAGCAGAGCCACTGGACCGTATGGGAGCTTTGGAGGCCTGGGCGGGGAGACAGGCATGTGGGTACCCTGTCGACAAACCCTCAGCATCAGTAGCGCGCCACAACTGGGAATGACAAGAGGGGCTCCTTTTTCACGGGATCATGCCGTTTTTAACCCCCTTCTGCTGCTCGTGTTCCCCTAGAAAACCCTTCCGCAGAGTCACAACAGTTTGTTTACTCTTGTTAAGGCTGGAGCGCGCTGTCCCGTGCAACCCCCCCGCCTTCTCGCTTTCCCCGGATGCTGTCTTGTTTCCTGTCCTACTTTTATTTTGCCTCTTCAAGGGGGTGCAAGTGCGCACCTGAGGAGGGCGGCAGACAGGGGTGAGCAGCGAGCACCGAATGCTCCGAGCGTGAGAAACGAGGGTTACCTGTGTGTTTGTCAACAAGATGAAATAAATAAGAGCAAAAAAAGAAGAAAAAAGAGGAAAAAAAAGGACAGCAGGCAAAGGCAATCAAATATGTATTTAATTAAAGCAAACATAAAAATAAAAGTTACATGTTGAATCAATAAACAGCACTTTTTTCTACATGCATTTTGAACAAGACAGATCAGAATCTTGCATGATGAAGACATAATGTGTCATAATAATTAGGAACACAGACAAAAGAACAGCTAATCAGCATGCAAATGTATGCAGTTCTGGCGATTCAGATGAGGCAGATTTCTACCTCTTTTTTGCTTGATTCATCTTCATTGCTAATCATCTGAAGGCTGCCAAATGTTCACTGACACTAATGTATTATAGGTCAAGAGAGGCAGGTCTTCACCTATTACCCCCCCAAACAATATGCTTCCCTTCCCTGTTTCCTCTTCAGGATTTCCAGCAATCACTGCCAGATGTAATCAGACTCCTTGAATAGGAGCAACTGAGGCTTGTTTGTGGCTCGGATTCATTAGAATCAGGAGGCTGAAGAAAGGAATAAATTACTTAATTGCACAAAAAAGTTGCAGCCAAAGTGATAGTGAGAGAAACTGATTGTGTAGCTACGCATTAGGCCACTCTTGGAATGGGGCGTCTTAGAATAGCTGGTAGTTTGGCCTCACAGATTCAGACAGATTTGGGTGTCCTCCAAAACAGATGGCTCCACATACCATCTATTCTTCTCTTTGTCAGGTTTTACCATTTATTTGATCTTGGTCCCTCTCTGCTGCTGGTTGTATTAGTTGTAACACAAATATGCATTCAGATCATATCCATTTAGTCTGGCCTCTCCCAACTTTTGTTCTTCCTCCTTTATTTTTCTTCCTTTAATTTTTTTTTCTTTTTCAGAAGATGATCAAGTTGAATTAAAGCCGTTTTGTCCAACATTTGAATGCTCCTTCGCACAAAACACAGGCAAAGGGAAGATGGCATGGAACTCCGGGCAGGGCTGTGTGCCCTAGACTGGAGGAGGGGAAGGAGTCCTTCAAAGGGGGAAAGAAAGAAAGAAAAAGTTGCTCTGATTTCCAACCACCAGAATACCTTTCTTGCCTCAGACTAACTCTTAGTCTATTGAAACACACACACACACACACACACACACACACACACACACACAATCTTAAGTAGTGTTGCTCATATAGGACCAAAGAGGAGGAAACAAAACCAGGTCCCACAGTCCCACAAATGCTTCCTTCTCTTTCCATCCGGCCTTGGGGCCTCGGAATCACACATTCTGCTCAGGTTTTTGGTCATGTGCCTGACTTGTGGGTGGTCTCAAAGTCTAGAAGCAGGAACTTCTTTTTCTCCTTGGAGCCCCCGTGTTGCTGGTACTTGTGCCTGTGTGTGTTGGGAGTGGAGAGGGAGGGGCAGGAAAAGGTCAGTACAGAGCAAGAGGCCCTGGCCAGGAAGAAATTGGCAAAGGAATTATTATGACAGATTCAGATCTGGAGGGGAAAAAAAAGCATTTGGAGGACAGGGGACTGCTGTGACTGTTGGTCAGTCATCGCCTAAGTGGACTTTCCAGTTAGTCCGGACATGTCCCCCCTCAAACTTCCTGCATTCTTGTTTTACCCTTTGCCTATGATCCCTTCCCTGCGTCTTTCCAAGCCTTTTCCCTCCATCAGTCGAGTCTCAGCACCAGTCCCAGGCCCCCAGAGGGGTCAGCTTCGCCTCTGAAGGTCAGAGACTGGTTCCCTTCCACTCCATCTTCACCTTGTCACCCTATCGTTATTGCCTTTAGAGCTTTTACCATTGTCTGCCATGTATTTCCGTGTTATTTGTCTGGTTTTTCTTACATGTGCACCAGTCAGTGTCCCTGTTGGAAAGGTAGGGTCATGAGGGCAAGGCAGAGATGTCTGCATCTGCCCTTCATCCCCAGTGTCTAGACCTGCATCTGGCCTTCCGTAGTTATGCAACAAATATTTCTTGTTTAAATAAGTTAGTTTTGAAGCTACGGCTGTCTAGAAGCCGAGTCACATTAATGGTTAACTCTGGGAAATTGCTCAACTTCTTTTACAGAGCTGTGAAGCCACAGCAGCATTTGCTGGAAGCTACAGTTGATAAGCACTAGGTACAGAGACACTGTGCCCTGTTCACCTTTTTAAGTTTGGGGATCGCTGGGTGAGTCAGAAGGGTAGGGACTTCTTAGAAAGAAGAGACATTTTTTCCTCTCAAAGTCATTGTGTTGTGTCACCTCAGGGCGAGTGGGGAGTCAGTGGTCTTTACAGTTCTGTGCAGCCCCCCCCCCAGTGAGGGTGGGTGAGTGTGGGGCCCCTGGGAGGTCTCAGCAGTGTGTGAAAATTGGGGAGCAGGCAGGAGAGGAGGGTAGAAGGGGACAGGAGAAAGAGAAGACATTCTAGCCAGGGAGGTCAGATGGCACCTGTGTCCTGTGGTGTCTGTGGTCACCGTTGGAGATGCTGAGGGTGGACCCCACAGTGGCTGAAATGGAGATGGCAGATCGGCCCCCACTCAACAAAGGTCCTTGGGTCAGTTGCTTATTTCAGGAGTTGGGCAAACCTAGAGGGCCACACCGATCGATGTCCCTCGCTCTGCTTTGATCAGGCCCCATCAAGCTAGCATAGGGACATAGAGCAAGGATCCAGCTGTCCCAAGCCCCTTCTCCCATTGCTGGGTCCCCAGCCAGGGCTCTGTGTGAGTGACTCGAACCTTTCTTCAGGGAAGAGAAGACATCTTCTCTCTGCCAGCCAGAGTATCACTTGGACCATTATAAGCAAAAGAAGCTCTTCCTTTTCTGGAACTTGCCATAAGCAAAATAATTGGAAACCAAGTTTGTCTTGGGGCTTATTTTTCCCCCTGCTCTTCGGGGTGTTTTCTCCCAGGAGCCGGGTCTCCATGGCCTCGATCTCATTTCCAACTCTGGGAGCCCCCTGGAATCACAGACTTACTGGGGGGTGGCATGGGGACAGGGCCGCAGTGGGCAGCTCGGCTCTGGGCATTTTAATTCCATGGAGAGCTGGCAGGGGGAAGGCCACGCAGGCCCCGGACCACCTAATCCCTTCTCGTGAGGGCCCCGCTCCATGCCAAGAGCCCGACTTCAGGAGAAAGGCAGCCGTCTTGGGGAGCCTCTCATCTCCGCAGGGAGCAGGCGGGCAGAATGGACTGCACCAGATAGAGCCTTCTGTAGCCAGTCCAGAGGCATCTGATTATTCAGTTGATGTTTTGTTTTTTCTTTTCTGGTCCAAATAAGCCTCCTATCCCTTCATCAGAACAAAGCTCAGCTTTCCCACTCCCGGCTGGCGGAGATGGCTGTCTTAGGCTCCTTGGAAAAAGCTCCATGGTTACCTTTCTTTCCCTGTTCCTTAGATCTTTTTGTTTGTTTGTTTGTTTTCTTTCTCCTCAAGTAAGAAAGACATGCTTCTGTGCCTTGGCAGACAGCTGTCCAAGGTCCTTCCTCTATTGGGGTCTCACCGTTGGACCCTGGCCCCTCCCAGCCGCCCAAGCAACAAAATCTCCTCCTGTCTTGCCTTTCTCACAGGAAGGAGCTGCTCTCCGAGCCAGCCAGCGAAGCCCTGGCGCCCTCTCAAAGAAGCCCAAAGTGAGAAGGGTTCAAGAGGGAGGTTGCTTTGTGCTGAAAGCTCCCGAGACAGACCTGTCCGCCAGCTGGGCTGGGGGCCTCCTGTGGGCACCAAGAGGTGGGAGCCCTGCACACTGGGCATTGTGTCCACGCTGCTCCTTGGACCTTGCTGGGACAGCCTGCTGGGAAAGATTCCCATGGGATGCAGGGGAACCTCTTCCTGGCCCCACTTCATCCCTTCCAGCTTTAGATTTGGGATTTTAGTCTCAAAAATGCGCCACTTCCCCTAGCCTCCCGGTTAGCTCACTGCTATCTGTGTGATGTCACAGTAAGCTGGCTGCTCTGCTCGTGCCCAGCTTAATGTTTCTTTAGCACAAATATGTACTTATTGCTGCACAGTTGGAAAAAGCAGAAAATCAAATCATTGTCCAGTTGGGATCCAGTAGGGAAGAGAGACATAGAGACAGTGAACTCACAGTGCGTGGTGTCCGGTGACCCACACGGGTGACTGGATGTCTGGGATTTACACTGAGTTCCCAGAAGGAAGCTGCCCTCATAGAAGGGCCAGTCTGCACCATGGGCAATTGGAGTTGTTCAGGGGTTGACGATCCACGTGACTAACGATCAGCAATGAACCCTTCCTGGGTTCAAAGGTAGGGGTATTGGTGCTAAAGCCAAGTTGGTGCAACCCTTGAGCCATGGAGGATCACCCAAGCCCCTTCTCAGTTTACTCAGTCAGGGTGGTGACCAGCTGGAAGGCTGAAAAGGAAATTTCCATGGATTTGTGGGAACGGCGCTGTCTGCGTCCCCCTCCAACTAGCCCTGCTTGTCCCGAGAAAGTGACAATGCGGATGGGATGGTGTTCTCACTGTGTCCTAGGAGGACAACATGTCATGGCATTAGTGGCTGCTCTCGGAGGAGGTGATGGCCCAATCAAAGGAGATCAGATCTTTGCCGAGCAGTTAGTTCTCAGGAAACTGCTGGAAAAGCAGAATAAGAAGGTGGTATTTTATTCTGGCATGTGGAAGAAGGGGGAAGAAGAGGAGGTGGTGGTGGTGGCATTTTATTGTTTAAAGAAAAATAAAAAATAAAGAGACAGATAAGCCTTGGGCCACGGTGTTATCCATAGTAGGAGGTGAACAAGTACCCCTTTCCAGCTGCTGCTGTTCTGGCACTGGGGACTCGTGCACTGAAGCTTCTCTGTTACCTTAATGAGGAATGAAGGATTCACATCTAGGAAGAAGGTGGAATTGAACGTTAGGTCCCCACCCAACCCCGAAAGCTCAGCTTGTCAGTGAGCTAACTGACACTGTCTGCTGCCCATGCCATGCAGGAGAAGCCCTAGGGCGGCCCCTCTGAACACTGGAGAGGCACTTTTTTCTTGTCGGACCTAAAAACCTGGGCTATGAAATGAGATTAGTGTGGCAAGAGCAATAAGTAGCAAGGTCAAATGTATTTTTAGTTTAGATTGCTCAGTTATTAATTGAGCACCTATGTACCCAGGCCTCGCCCAGTCAGGATGCAGGGATGTAGGGGTGCAGGAGATGAACGGGAGCATCTGGAGGCCTCTGTGATGAAGCTGGGTGCAGGCGGGACAAGGTCCCTGCAACTCTCCCCTCTCCAGGCCTGCTCATGTCTGGGGCTGGTGGCCCGGACAGGAAGTTGGTGGTGGTGCCACAGTATTATTGGCTTTTTGAATAAAACAGAGGTGAAAAGTCTGAATAGACAGGCATGGGGCCGTGCCAGCAGGCAATTCTCTGCAGACTGCTGAGGAACTGAACCTGCGGCCTCTCTCGCTGGCCCCCTCGCTTGTTGCCTGTCCACACTGCCTTTGTTCTGAAATCTTTTTACTCTCCTCTCCGTGTTTCCTGTTTTCATGGATCTTCCCCTTCTGCTGTATTTTTCCTGTGTCTGTTTGGGTTCCCAGATGTTGCAGCCAGTGCTTATTTTGGTGACTATCTGGGCATCACAAGATCTTAAAAAAAAAAAAAAAGACAATGGAAAAAAACTATATTGGAAAAAAAATTCCATACACATATCCCAGGCTGGGCACTGCTTCAGAGGGGTCAGGTAGGTGCTGTCACAAGGACCTCATCTGCAATGTGGTCAGTCCCTCCTCTAGTACCAGATTGTGTGGCACACCCGTGCCTCCCTGGCTCTTAGTAGATGTCAGTTGCATGTAATGTCTTGAGCACCCGATCCTCCCTGTAGGTCAGTTTTAGGTGTGAGGGTTCACAGCCCTTTTTTCTTTTTCTTTAGCAGATGTTTGCCATGCAAAATGTCTCCGTCCCCTGTGTGGAGTCGGCACATGTACAGAACACATTTTCATTCCCTTTCCCTTCCTTCTGCCCCTGTCCCTGCATCACCTGACCCCCTTCCCATTTGAGAACAGTCTATCTCCCTACTCCTTATTATCTATCTTTCATTTTGCTTTTTATTTATAGTTTGGGTTTCTCATAGAAGTGAAGCCATGTGTCATTTCAGCTTGGGTCTGATTTATTTCATTTAACATTATGGTCTCAAGGTGCATCCATTTACCTGTGAAGGCCTCAAGTTTATCCTTCATTATAGAAAGACAGAGAACTAGAGAGTAGTTCTGTATTGTGTGTAAATACCACATTCATCTGTTGATGGACATATTATAGGCTGCTTCCAAGATTTAGTTATAATGAATTGTGCTGCTCTAAACATGGGTACGCATGGATCACTGTAATTTGATGTCTTTAACTCTTTCAGGAAGATACATAGAAGGGGAGTAGCTGGGTCAAATGTCATGTCTAGTTTTAATTTTTTGCGGACTCTCCATACTGATTTCTGTGGTGGGTGTACTAGTTTACACCCCCCCGACAATACAGAAGGTTTCTTTTCCCTCACAGCCTTGACGGCATCTGTTATTGTTTGATTTCTTCCTGACGGCCATTCTTTCCGGAGTAAGATGGAATCTCAGTGTTGTTTTAATTCGCATCTCTCACACTTCTTCTCTACTAGCTGTCATTTTGAAAACAGCAGAAACAACAACAACAACAACAAAACCCCAATGCAGTAATCTCACCAAATGGCAGCAGAAGCCCTGCCTGTCTGTATGAGCAAAAGAAGACATATGCTGCTCCGATGGGACTCTAATACATCGCTGGCACCAGGATGGCCAGCAGTGCCTGGGAATCTGGCCTGAGCAGAGCTATAGGAAGAGCCTCATTAGCTACTTCGGTGTGGGCCAGATCCTGCAGGTAGGGAAACATTTTCCTTCGACACCATTTAGTCACGTCTCTGCTGGTGGCCATGGCGGTGGCAGAGCTGGGCTGTGTGCAGGGAGTGCTTCTCTCCGCCCTGACACCAGGCCACCTCCTATCAGAATTCCGATCTCTGGACAACTGACTCTTACACTGCTGTGTGGTACACACACCATGGTGAGGACCCAGGTGACACTGCTGATAGATAACAATTGACAAAAAAGAGACCAGCTCTGGGTGGTGCTGCTCTGTGATTGGGTGCAGGAGATACCATGATCAGGCAAAGGAGATAGTGCACGGTTAGAAGGAAACTTGGGGCTGCTGGGCCAAGCGGCTCGGCTAGAGGAGCAGTGTTGTGGGGACCTAAAAATCAGGTTGTGGGCACCTAGGCAGGGCTCATCCCCAACCATTCAAGTGACTGAATCCACTTCCCCAGCCATTCTCAGATCCACTTCCTTCCACTCCACAGTGGGAAGTGACTCTCAAGCCAACAGTTACATACTTATGGAGAAATCGTGGTCTCGGCCCTTCCCTTGTGCCTGGATGGAGACCACCTAGAAGAGGAAGGCAGCAGCTAACCATTCCTGCACACTTCTTGTCATGGCTGTGACCCCAGTTCCTTGTGTCTCTCACTCCACAGACATCTACAGTTTTAAAAAGGAGACCTGAATTTGATGAGACGTTCTGTGAATGAGGGGAAACCAGTGGGTGTCCACTGTATTGGTGCCCAAAATTTCTCAGCATGGTGATTGTTTTGTTCCTAGTGGATGGATCCATGTCCATTACTGTCCACAAACACAGGAGGCCTGGGTGATCTGCAAGATGATTGGGCCCAGCAGTGGATACAGCTCTGTTGAGCTGTGTTCCACTCAGAGTGATAGTTAGGGGTTGTGTGTGTGTTTGGGTGTTGCTTGCTTTTCTGCAGTGTGGCTGTGAGACTGATCTGAGTCCCTTCCTATGTCCCTCCTTGCAGGTCAAGGACAACTGGACTTTTTTTTCTCTTTCTTTCTTTCTTTCTTTCTTTCTTTCTTTCTTTCTTTCTTTCTTTCTTTCTCTCTCTCTCTCTCTCTCTCTCTCTCTCTCTCTCTCTCTCTCTCTCTCTCTCTCTCTCTTTCTTTCTCCTTTAGTACACATTTGCAGTACATAGTGATTACCTTCATCCTGGGGAGTTGGCATATGTACATAACACATCTTAATTCTTTTTAAGTTCCCTTCCCCTCCATTCCTGCACCCTTTGTTTCTTGGTCCCCTTCCCATACTCAGAAGATCCATCTTTTTGTAGTAGCTTGGAGGTACTCATAGAGAACACCAGGAGTTGGTTTGGCTCCTCATGGGGAAGCTGCTAGAAAGCTCTTCCAGTTTCAGGATGATAAGAGTAGCCGTGGTGGCATTTACTAAGGTCAGGCTTCCGTCAACATGCTTCATATGATTAACTCTTTTTCACGTGTGATACTAGGGATTGATTCCAGAGCCTTCACATTGAGCTACCCCCTACTTTCCCATTTTTTATCACTTATTTTGAGTCATCAGGATCTCACTAAGTTGTTAAGTTGCTCAGGCTGGGCTTGAAATTATGATCCTCCTGTCTCAGCCTGCCAGAGTGCTAGAATTACAGGCGTTGTGCCACCCCCTCTGGCTGAATTGACTGTTAATCTTCACAACCACCTGATGAGGTAGACTATGATCTTCATTTTATGGATAAGGAAACCAAGACATAGAGAAGTTGATTAGCTTGTCGAAGGACGCGCAGGTGGTTCTAAATTTTGTCAAAATTGGAAACACCTCCATTAAGTTTTCCTCATATATGATTCTTAAATTCTCTGTGAATTGGGGGCACTGGGAGCCCTGCTGGCAGTCACTATGAATTAGGGCCATCAATAGCAAATGTACATGGGCCTGTGGGCCACCCACATATGTGCTATGAAACCCAAACTGAATGTGCCTTAGCTGAATCTGCAAATACCTATAGCCCCTCCTGCACCAGAACAGCGAGAGGAGGAGTCGATGTCAGAGACAGAGGACAGAGATCTTAATTAGCTCAGGCCAAATAGCTCATGTTTGCAACTTTTGCAAAACATGCTCATGTGAACATGTGGTGAAGGCCTCTTTCAGGGCCTTAGGAGTCTGTTCATAAGGAGTGGGCAGATGCTTATGTGCCTTAGCTTCACAATGAATTCGCTCCTGGTCATAGGCATTTACATATATATAGATGTCTCTCTCTCTCTCTCTCTCTCTCTCTCTCTCTCAATATGTATATTTGAGGTTTAGATCTGAAATGTCCTCCAAAAACTCATATGTCATTGGATCCTGAGAGTTCTGACCTCATGAATGGATTAATCCATCCATTTGTGGATTCATGGCTTGATGGGTTTGGGGAAGAGCTTTGTTATAAAATTCAGCCCTCTTTTGCTTCTTGGCCACCATAAGGTGAGCAGCTTTCACATACTCCCTACCCTGATGTTTCTGCTTCATCAGAGTCCTAAAAGCCATAGAGCTAGCTTACCATGGACTAAAACCTCTGAAACCATGAGCCAAAGTCAGTTTTTCCTCCTTTAAGTTGATTTTCTCAGGCAATTTGCTACAGCTCTGGAAAGCTAACACACACACACACACAATACATCAATTGTGACAGGACAGCTTCCCCATTCCACCCCTCCCTACAGTAATCCTATTAGACAGGGAAACTGAGTCTCAAAAATATGCATGGGGGAGGAACCAGCTTTGATGGTCACTTATCATTTATGTGGACTGATGACAGTCTGGGAGCATCACGTTTCATGACAATATGAGGGCAAGATGTCAGAAAGCTTGTAGCTCCTTAGGGAAGGTAAGTACATAATGATAGGCTGTTGTACTAATTAGGATTAGTTTTCCTGTGAGTGGAAGAAATCCATGAATAACAGTGATTTAAATCAGGTGGCTATTTATTTCTGACTTGTGTGGAAGTCCAGGGAGGTTGCCCACCATGATCAGGGTGAAATTCCTCTATTTTATTGCTCTGCTAACCTGTAACTTCTAACTCACAGTCCAAAGCAGCTACTATAGCTCCAACTATGAGGTATACATTCTAGCCAGTGGAAAGTGAATAATAAAGGAAAACAGATTTCTTTTTAAGTAAACTTACTGGGAATTCTTTGTGAGTATGTGAGTATGTGAGTATGTGGGTGCATGTATATATGCATACACACAAATTTTACTGCATGTATAATCTCATTTGGCCCGAACTCAAACATGTGGCCATATCAAGATACCAGGGGGGTTGGTGGGAAATATAGGCAACCATGTATGCAGGTGATACTGAAAAAAAGGGGCAGTAATGATATCAAGGGATAGGTAGCACAATTGTGCTGTATTTCATCACGATTTGCCTTTTATCTTCTCAGAAAGTTTACATTCTCTTTGAAAGCAGGATTCTGTTCATCCACATAATTAAAGACATTTCAGAGGCTGTAGGGGCCACAGGCATCATCCAGTTTAGTGACTTTCAAAGTTCTTTTTATTAATATATTTCATTTCTCAAAAGAAATATGTAAGACATAAAAGTAACATAATATTAAAATTAATTTCTTAAGTTTAGAGTTACTGTACAGCACTTTCTTGAGATCACCAAGAACTCAAGTTCAACCATTGAAGGTATGTAATTACTAATATTTGATATATTTAAAGCTATATTTAAGTGTGTGTTTCCCATTGATTCGTAAGTCACTTTTAATCCTGAAATTCAACATAAAATTTTCAGAATCTCTTCAAATTTGGATTGGAAAATGACTGACATAGCCCCAACTTCTCATTGTACAGCAAGACTCCTGAGGCTGAATCTACCACCTAAAGTGGTGAGTTGATTTAGTCAACAACCTGGAGCTAAGCAGTGGTAAAAGGAGACTAAAATTAACCTTAAGAGTTAACAGATATGGGCTACAGTTTCCAACATTTGCCAGATGCAAAGTCCTTCTCTGTTCACTTCCTAGGAGACTTTGGGCATTGAGGTGTGCTCAACATTTATTTGTGGCAAGAGAAAGACCCTTGATAATGAGGGGTGTCTAATTCAGGAGAATACAGACCCTGAGAGAGCCCATCTTTTGTTGTAGATGAATAACAACACCCAAAATTTGCTTGGATGTTTATGTGTTTACAAAGGGCTTTCACATACCTTATCTAATTTAATCCTCCCAACACCTTTTCAACAGTTATGGCAGATATTCTTATTGCCAGTTTAGAGATGAAGAGATTGAGGTCCAGGAAACTGAGGGACTTGCTCAAGAACACAGGCAAGTGAATGATGGAGCCAGAAGTTAAGTTCAGGGTTTTTTGGTCTCCAAATCCATATTGCTATTCTTTGTTATCATTTTGCCTGTTGAGTTTTTGTTACACTTACTAGTATTTTCTTGTCTTTGCAATTCTGGAAGCTCCCATCTGCACTACAGTCTGTGGAATTATTTTCCAATCTTTTAACATAAACTACAACGTGAATCATGTGCTTGGGATTGTACAAAGGGGTGGTGGCCTCTCTGTCATTGGAAATTCTTTGAGGGAAGTGTATTTTAATTTATTTATCTCTGTACCTTGGGCACCTATGCTAATAGGTGTGTGTATCTGACTCTGTGTCTCTGGATAGCATGGACTACATGCTCCACATACCTGGTCCATCAGCTTTTGGAGGACATGGGTATAGGTCAGCAGGCTGTCTAGACTGGCTGGTCTGGCCTCCATGTTAATGTACTCCAGGAGTGGTTGGCAGATACAATGGCAGTTCTTCCAGTAGTTTTTGATCACTCTGGATATTGATTTTGATGCTTTTCTTGTGGTTGCCTGGTCCAAGCTGCTTGTCTCCTGGCATATGGTTCACAGGTACTCACCCATCCATTCAGCAGACATTTATTGAAAGTCTGCTGTGTGCCAGAGACATTCAAGGGATTGGGGATGATACAGCTCCACACAACGTGGATCATGTCCTTGCCGCCATGCAGCTTGCCATCCTATGGGGAAAAGGCAGCCAGAAAACAAGAAGCAAGGAAACACAAAAGTATGCAGTGCTGTATGTGCTCATGACAGATTCTCTCAAGACAGTGAAGCTGAATAAGGGGCTGGTGATGGGTGAGGCTGTGTGTACGTATGAGTGTGCATGTGTGTGCATGTGTGTGATGTGTGTGAGCATGGATGGGATCACTGGGAAGGCCTCGCTAAATTCTTGTGTTCTTGGGAAATTTCTCCTTAATGTTGATGAAGTAATTATTAATGGATCTTGGGCCTGGTCTGTTCAAACCCCGCCTTGTCCTTCCACTGACCCCTACATCGAATCAAGATATCTCCCAGGGCCTTTGTAGCATGGTACCTGCTCTGGGTGTGATGATCTCACTGCTTTCTACACCTCATGCCCGTTCTTACCACACTGCAGCAGTCTGGCCCATGGTGCCTCCTCCTCTCTACATCTCCAGTCCTGCTGGCTCCATGAAGTCTTCTCTGCTTACTGCACTGAGCTCTCCTTTCTGGGCATTTGCATGAGACTTATAGCTTGCACCTCATAGTTTGCACATACTTTATTTTTCCTTCACATTTGTTGGTTTTGCCTCTTCAACTAAGGCTTAGTAGTTTTGAAACAAGCTATGTTCCAACTTCTGGATTCCTCAGTGGGTCTATCAGAAAGCTAAGTCTCCATAGCAGGTGCTTCATAAAGCCTTGGTTATTGAGTAATGGAAGGGTTATTTCCTTCTCTAAAACAATGGATTGGAGATCAGCCTTGTGTGGCAAAGTGAAAATAATGCCACAAACTCCTCCCATGGTTGGGTTTGTGAGGTGTTCTAACCAATGGAGATTGATGAAAGATTCTGTGTGCACATTGTAATCTAGAGGCCACATGGCGGTTTTGGTTGGCAATGCTTCCCATGCTGGACACAGCTAGGCTAATGTGGTAGAAGTTCAGTGGCTGTGTGGAGAATGATCTCGGTCATTTCAGTTGTGGCCCCAGACTTGGGAGAAAGCCCAGCAAGAATAGTTGAGCCTGAATCACACCAGAAAGATCACCTAGCTGAGCCTGGTCCTAGTCCTAAGTTCACCGACACCATGGTAACCTAAATAACATGGGGAGTTTTTTAAGTCGCTGAATTTGGGATGGTTTGCTTGGCAGCTCTGAATGTTCAATACACACCAGAAGACCATGCTGGTAGAAAGGCAAAAGCATTTCTAGAACTAATCTCTTGTACTTCTTCATTGCATTCATTATGTACTTCAAGTCTCTTTCATGTCTGGCACCTCCTTTAATTTGTGTAGGGTTTTCTTGGGGAGACAGGCAATTGTCACCATACCCATTTCACATATTAGAAAACTAAGGCTCAGGGAGGTCATCCTAGATGTACTAGTTGGAAGAGGATGGGGATTCAGCTCACTGCCATATAGAGGTCCCAGGACATATGGTGACCTTTCCTGTTAAGCTGGGAGAAGTTTAACCGAGAGGGTAGTAGGCAGAGTTGGGCAGGAAAGTTGAGACCGAGGCCTCCCTCTGAGGCTGCCTGTGCTAATGAGCCCTGCCACCGTGGGCCTCGGTCACCTCTGCAGGAAGGTTGGATATGGAGAAACTCATAATGAGGCTTAGCAAGTCCCTGTTTTTTTTCTGAGTAGCTCTGAGCCTCTGCTTTGCTGCAGGATTAGGCTGCTTGTGAAGGTTTCTAATTCGAGGTCTTAATTTTTGTAAAGCGTGAATTACAAGAAGTCAGAAGAATGATGCAAAGAGCATTTAATAATGCACATTCACAAAAGAAGTGGTGTAACTACATTAATTAGGCAAGTCTTGCGTAAAGATGCAATGTAATTATATATTTGAGACAGTTAATTAGGGAGCTACTTGGAAATTTCAGTGAATATTAAGGTAATTATACATAAATACTATAACCATTAAGACTGCACCCATAATGAAAGCAATAACTAATTACATAAATAACAGCATACTTATGTTTTTACATTACCAACACCTAACAATGCTTCCTCTCCCCCGCCTCCCTTCACCATGCAAATGACAAATCTTCCATTTTTAACTCAGATATTCTTGCAAATGCTTGGGAACAATGACCTTTCCTCTATTTTGACAAATCCGGGCCTAATGCAGGAGCTTGCAGTGAATGGACAGAGGTGTAGGGCATGAGGCCGCGGGCCCTGCCTAGCTGCATCTGTGTGGGTGTGGGCAGGAGAAAACCAGGGCCAAACCCTGCCAGGCTAGGGAGGGGCAAGTAGCACCATGGGCACAGCAAGGTTGGGCTTGCGAGACCTGGACTCCAGTCTTGGACTTGTCCGTTACCAGCTGACCCACCTCACAGAAGCCTCTTAGGAACTCTGAGCCTCAGGTTCCTCAAGGCATCAAAAAGGGATGGTGGCAATCCCTGCTCCCTGGAGCTAGGATGAGTGACAGTATGGAAACATCAAGTGCCATCCCGTGTCTCTGGCCAAAGTTTGTCTTTAAAGTGCCAAATTCTGGATCTCGATGCCTTCGCTCCTTTCAGCTTGCCCTCTCTGACTTCACCTCCTTCAGATGCGCATCAAGCTGCCCCACCACTGTGGGGGGCCTTGCCCCCCGCCCCCCCCCCGCTAGAACTCTTGAGTGCCTTTTACGGGCATGTCTGGGCCTGCTGCAAGTCTACCCGGCAACAAGGAAATAGCCCCAGTACCCTCCCCTTGCTCCTCCCCTCTAGCCCTACGGTATATATGCTGTAGCAGCTTCCACAATAAACGAGACTTGATCAGAAACCTGTCTTGTCTCCATCTCTCGTGTCTCTTGTCCCTTGTCATTCTCACTCCCCCTCTAGGGTCTCCGTTGACTTACCCGCGGGCCGGGACACACTACCTTCCCAGTTCAGAGTGGTTTTTATGCAAAGATCTGGAGCTCACTCATACTCAAATATGGCTGACTGATGACTTCATGTGTGGGGAGAAGTTAAATAAGGGAGAGTATTTATATTTTAATAGGAAGTAAAGTTTTCATTGACCACCCTACCTATAAAATATCCAGTCAGTGGGTTGTTAATGGAATGCTGGGCCTCCAGGACCATTTCTGGGCCCTCTTGGTACCTTACCATGTAGCCATCTGTACAGACAGGGGGACAGGAGCATGGAACAGGAGTCTTAGACACTTGCAGTTAACCTCTTAGCCCTACTACTTAACTCTTCGAACAATAAAAGTGTATTTATCGACCAGCTACTATGTCAGAGACACTGTTTTAAAGATGGATTGTATTAATTTAATCTTTGGACAGTTTCACAAGGTATATGCTCTTATTGTCTTGTCTTATGCATGGGAACATTAGGGGACAGAGGTATTAAATAACTTGTCCCAAGTCACGTAGCAGTTGGCTCTGAGGCCTGAATGTCACTAGGATAAATGCTTTCTCTTTAAATGCAAGATGGGGTAATCAGGGTAGCCACCTCATGGGGTGGCTGTAGGTATTATGTGAGATAGTGTGGGCAGAGTGATTTGCTCAGTACTGACACAATGTAAGGACTCTCTTCTGTCAATGTTTGTCTCTTGCCTCCAATGTTGGTGCATGCTCCTTTCTCTGTTGGATTCTTGTGCTTGTGCTCCTCACTTCTGCTCCTTCTCAGTGTCTACAGTGTGCTCAGTTTGCACCAGGTGGCCTTCTCTGCAAGTTGAGAGTGGGTGGAAGGGATGAGTCTGATTCCACCCAATCCACAGTCACATGATGCCTCTATAGAGAATTCTAGAGGGAAGCCACCCGACGGAGCTGGTTGTGCTGCTGTTGGCCAAAGGCTGACTTTTCCTGCCATGGTCTGTTGCATCCTTGGAATTCAGCTACCAATGATTATTGGAGAAGTTTCTCATCTCATATGT